TTTTGCTCTTCGCTTTTGCTTGCAGTTATCTCGCCGAAGCCCATTGACCATCAGGAGCCGGAAACAAGTTTCGTTGGCGTCATAATCACAGTGCTGGCAACAATTATACTCTTCCTTGTCGTTATTATCCTGTTGATAATAGCTCGCAATAAGCGCGGACGCGGACGTGGCAATGTTTTGGATGCATTTCAGCATAATTTCAATCCGGACACACTCGGCGGCGTCGATAAGCGACTCAACGGCAATGGCGTCTTAAAGGTGGGTAAAATGAATATCTGTACAAATACCAAGCGGCGTTTAGTTTGGCCACTAACCGGCTGACATGAAAAGTGCATAAGCTGTTGTCGCACTGTGGGCAGTCACCACCCAAAATGCATGTCAAACATCAAGAACCAAAAAAAAAAAAATAAAAATTCGGGGGACGAGCGAAAAAAAAAGTTAAAAATTGCTGCTGCCAACGCACAAAGGTTTTACGGGTGAGCCCGGGCTCCATATGCAGAAATCATGATTAAAAGCTGCACTGTAGTGGCTGCCAAAGCTCAACAAAAAGAGCTAGGCGTCAATTTTTTTACACTGTATGTTTTAATTTTTCTATTTTTTTTTTTCTTTCACCTTTCGCCCTCAGGTGGTCACAACAATGGATGACAATGAGTCGTCCATTGACAAGAACAGTCTGTACCATGAGCCCTTCAATGTGAACATGTACACAAGCGCGGCCAGTGCCTGCTCCATGAATGACCTGCAGCGTCAGCATGTAACTCCGGACTATACAGGTGAGTTCACGCAAAGGGGCAAGAGGTCCCGGCTTTCAGTTGCACCATGATGGGCTGTTGCTGCTGCTGCTGCTGCTGGTGCCATGGGCCATTAACAGCGCTCACAGCATGGCTCAAGCTTTAGCACCCGCTCCCGGTTCTACTCCTGCTTCTGTTCCTGCTGCTGGTGTCGCAGCTGATGAGTTTGATGTTTTGCGTCCTGCCTGTGACAGGACATGCAAATGTTGCTGCTACGTTGCAAACAACAACAAAAACGCAACAAACAAAAAAAGAAGACAAATGCGAGTACGAAGCAATGCTTAATTTAGCGCACAACATGAAAGTCCAGTGTGATGGACTCTGCCAGCGGTGCTGAAGTAGCAGCCGGAACAAGAGCACCAACAATCAAAAAAGAAAAAAAAAACGAACGCGCGTTGTTCGCGCCGCAGGACATAATTTTGAATTGCTTAGTCGCCAGACCGGCAAAACTGATCCCCCAAAAAATAGGGTATGCAATGGGGCATATGAACTTGCTAACACTTTCATTTTAACATTTGTATTCTGATTTAATTATTTAAATATATTTATTAAATTATTTTTATAATAAATCTAATTAAGGAGGAGCGCTTTTATAAAAAGCTTTGGTAAATGTTTGTTTAAAATTTATATCACAAACAAATGATTAATATTATTAATGGAATTTGGCATATTATTAAATATTGCTCCATATGAGAATGCGTATTTCTTCAGTTAAATTTTCCTTTCTACTCATGGAAACTTACTGAAAATAAAAACGCACTTGAGTTGAACTTAAATTTCAACTAATATCTTAGTCAAAAGAAATTCGCATGGATTTAGTGTAAACAGGCTTTTGACTTCCCAATCCGCTTACGAGAATTCTTTATGCCTTCTTCCGGCACATAGTCAATAATAAAACAGAGGACTCCTTTCAGTGAACCTTCAGTTAGCTAGTTAAATACTAAGCAGAACTAATCCAAGCGAATGCCTTGTGCAGAGTAACTAAATGTCATCGTGTCCAACATAGGTTACTTTTCATGTATTCGTCGAGTAACATGTGCACTGTTTAATTGCCAAACATGGAACGTGGAGCTTTCGGTTTGGGGTTAGAAGAAGTTGAGCTACATAATTTGTAATGAATTCTAATGTCTTGTGTCCGTCGCCTAAAGGCATGCTACACATTTTTGCGGCCCTTGCGTTTATCTCGGAGAGACACGAAGCAGGGCACATAAAATCGACAACATGCTGGTCAGGACACAGGCACATTGTTTGCACACATTCCTGGGCCATCACTAGCATCATCATTATCATCAGCATAGCCATTGTCATCATCATCAGCAACGTTTATGGCACGCCTTTCATGCGCTCGAGTCATTTGCCAAAAAGTTTTGTGATGTTGCCTTTGGGTGCATTTTATAACTGGGCACCAAATATTTGTCATTGTCTCCCATCCGCCCCACTTAATGCTCTATTCCGTTCGTATCTTTGTCTGTCTGTTGCCGTAATAATTTAATTTAGCTCAAATAAATTATAACTTTAGCCATGGTAGAGCTACATTGCCATTTACGCTTTAACTTCAGCCCAATTCCCAACCTATTCCCATTTCCAGCACTCGTCACAGTCTCGCGCGTACCGCACGCTTCAAATTGAGTCCTTCAAACTTCGTTGGAAAACTTCTGCCAGCAACAACTGCTCGCACACTACTCCACACACACACACACACACTCCAATTAAAGTCCATTTTTGAAGTCAACTGCCAATTTGCACTCGCAAAGCTCCCCCACATCAAAATCACGGCGAAAAACTTCACATAATAACATTGCATGCAAGTAAACACGGCAATAAGCGTGAGCCCAAGCACGAAATTCGCTTAAAAGCGGGTCGCAATTTGCATAGCTCTACATAAGACAATCGAATACTTAATTTAAAGAGCTATAAATGGAATATAGAATAGCTTGTGCGAATAGTGCAAATAAGGCGGGGGAAAGTAAAGTTTATTTTATATTTATCATTTAAATAATTAAAAATACCAATATTTTTTAGTTGAATTCAGTGATGTAAAAGCTATGAATTGATGCTGCATAGGGCATTTTTTCCCACATGAGAAATCGATTTTACATTTTTTTATGAACAATTTTTAAAAACCATTTGGGGTGTAAATTCGACAATGCTCCAATTGAAGTAGAGTATTTGAGATTTCTGCAATATCAAGTAAGGCCACAAAACTTCAGTGCAACTTTAAGGCTGAGGCACTGATTGCTCAAGCACATAGATATACACACACGCATATACACACACACACACACACAAACACAAACACATGCATAGTGCACATTCCGACAACTTGCATACGAATTTTGCACAGTCGTCGAAAAGTTTTGTCATTAACGTTCGTTGGCTGTCTCTTAGTCTGTCTCTATAGCTCTTCTTCTCTCCCTGTCTCTTTCTCAGTGTTATTTTATGTTTTCCCACTACGAATGCAAAAATGACAGGCAACAGTAAGGCCGAAAAACAGACTGACAATGAGCCGCACACAAACTAAATAATGTTATTACAACAACAATAAAATTAAAACTTGCCTCGGATAGAGGATAGTTGATAACAGTGTGCGCAAGGGAGACAGCACAACGCCAAGTTGCAATTAATTTCATTTAGTTTTTTGCCACACGCCATTTTGTCTTGCCCCCGGGATGCCTCTCTCTCGCACTCACTCACTTTTTCTTTTCTATGTGCAATGAGAGTTGACTAAATGGGAAAAGTTTGAAGTTGAAGGCACAAAAGTCCTGGACAAGACAAATGAAAACGAGAGACAAAGGCACCCAGTTGCCTGAAGGAGATGGCATTACATTGAGCTGGGGATTGCCAGAAAGGCAGACAAAATGCTCAGCCCAGAGTTGCATTCGGTGTGCCCTCTAGTTTCAATTTATGAGTGGCCCAGGGTACGCCTGCTGTCTTCATATGCTTCAAGCAGCAGGCAACTGGTGAACTGTAAAATAAATGTCCTTTTACAACACTCATGTGTTTGGCAGAACTGTTTCACCTAAATTTGACTATGTTTAGAATTTGTGAAAAATTTTATAAATTCGAATAGTTAAGGGAAATGCAAACGCCTTCAAGATACAGAAATCGTTAGAAAATAAGTCTAGACTTCTCATAATTTCAAACACCCACTTAATTTAAAAAATTGTTTTTATGTTTAGATTAAAAATGGAGCTTATTTGTTTTTAGATAAATCGATCAATCTGCTCAGATGTATGAAAATATTAAATTTATGTACTTGGGGCAACATATAATATAACAAATATATTACAAAAACAAATTTATTAAGAAGCAAATATTATCCAGCAATTGAATATTAATTATATTCAACACTATTAAATATCAAATATTTAATCAATTAGTCGTCGTACCCGGCTCAAACTCTAAAAGTTTATATTAAGCCATGCAACGGCGTTTAGTAATTATCTCTTAATTTTCTTCAGTTGTACCACTTCTTTTTTCTTCAAATTTCAATTTAGTTTACGATCCATTTTTTTTTTCATTTGCTCTGCTAGATTTTAGTTAAAAGAATTTAAAAACGACTCGCAACTTGCGGCGCACATTCATTTACGACTTGTGTAGTAGAGTGTAAATTTCACTAGAATTTCTGTAAAATGTTGTGGCATCTTTTGTATAATTCGTTGGCCCGACAAAACTTTTGCCTGGCACGTAAAATGGCGCTTAAAAGTTTATTGTTTTCAGTGAGGTGCAGTTGTACAGCCCTGTTTTATGGTCAAAAATTAACACTCTCTGAACTCAAAACCATCCTTTGCTGACTCTTTCTCACTCTTTCTCACTTTCTCTGTCTTCTTTGCACAGATGTGCCGGACATTGTGTGCCAGGACTATGCGGTGCCTCATATGCAGCAGCTGCTGCCAAATGCCGCTGGCACCGTCACCGGCACCGCCCGCAGCTCACTGAACGCATCCATCGTTGCGGCTCCAGTTGTTTCGGCGGCAGCTGCAGCAGCAGTAGCAGTGGCAGTACCACCCGTGCCACCGCCACCAGAGAAATATTACGCAGCAACACCAATTTGCAGCAAACCAGTGACTGGGCCGCCGGGCTCTCAGAGTAGCGGCTCGTTGAGTATGAGCTCCTCAAATACGGCAGCGACCACGCCCACGCCAACAGGCGGCAAACCACATCATTACAATTTGGATATGAGCGCTAATTTCGCCGACATCAACGAGGAGCAGGCCAATTGCCAAGTGCAGGAGTTTCCGCGCCAGTCGCTGGTCATCGTCGAGAAGCTCGGCTCGGGCGTATTTGGTGAACTGCATTTGTGCGAAACAAATGTGTTGAAGTAAGTAGTGCACCCAACACAGCCCAACCCAAACTTACCCTACCCAACCTTAGCCTAACCCACCCATTGCCGCCGCACCATACACTTAACCAAGTTGTTGTGTCTGCTGCAAGCGGCCGAAAAACATTCGGAAAATGCAACTAAAATTCAGAGCACAACACAAAATGAGCTGCATTAGGCTTACAGGCCATTTTCCAACTATACTTCACAATGGTGGCTGCTGTTTTGAGAATCCCACTTGAACACATTTTGTGTAACTTCTCGAATGCTGTAGCTTTGTGTACACTAGCAGATTAGGATTCTAACTATGAGCCTAAAGAATATTTTTGAGTTGAAGTGAGAGCGAGTACGTCTGCAGTTCTCAAATACAAATGAATAAGCAAACACAACGCTTCGATAGCATCCACAAAATGCTCAACTAAGTCCGATAATAAAGTTTCATTTTAATAGAAATATATTTTCCGTCAATTAAAACGTTTAGCTGGCGTTCCTTATTTACTGTCTATTGAAATCTCATTAAATTAGCAAAACTAATTGATTTCAAATGCTTCAAATTAATTCCGCAATATAAATCAAAACAACTGCATTCAAGCGTATACCAAAGGTAATAATTACTAATTGTAATTAACATAAGCACAATGCGTATGAATAAAATAAACACTGCGCATAAAGCATTCGTGGACCTTTTTGAAACTTATAGGAATTATAGCTTATCATGGCATGTCAAACGTAACGTATATTTAACATAAAGCCAAATTGCTTCTCAACGAAAAAGTATATAGATATTAGTGAACCTGTCGTTAACGTTGTCAGATGGTTAGAAATGAAATAAAAAATTGTAGCACAATATTTGACAATAAGAGAAACATTATTACTTTTATCGAATGGTTAGATGAAAAGGAATAAAACAAAGCGAAACCAAGGCTGTGAGATAGTTCGATCTGCAGTTCTCACATTTAAATTGAAATGTTACCCAAATACTCAAAATCTCTTATTGCTAAGCCACAATTGTTACTTGCTTTTTATTATGATTTGCAGCAAATTGTAAATTAAAATGTACATACTTATGCACCTTCGTCCCAATTGCATCCAAAGTTAGTGCTGCGAAGGAAAGAGCGATAAAAAATTATACAAAATCAAATATATATACATATGAACATGGAGGCATTTTACCATGGAGGAATCCTAGCTTCGTACGCGCTTTCAGCTAAAAAAAGAGCACAAATAAGCCCGATAATGAACTTCATTTTTACAGAACAGTTGTACCTAATGAGTTTAACTGACGTTTCTTATATACTGTCTATTAAAATTAGCAAAACAAATTGATTTAAAAGGGTTCAAATTACTTCCGCCATATAACGCATAATATCTGCAAGCGTATCCCAGCGCTGATAAATATTAATAACATTAAACACGCTTGCAAACAAACATATGGTTACATAAAGAGGGCGCCTAGAAAATACCTTTAGTAAAGGTCTATAAAGATAACAAAAATGCCATATAACGATTTTTAGCGTTTAGCAAAAATAACCCGCACAAAATGTACAGCAATTATAACCAATCAGGACATTTTTCCATCAAATGCAACATATATTTTGTCAAATTGCTTTTCAACGAAAAAAAAGATTGCCCAATTTATATAAAGGATATAGATACCAGTGAACATGTCGCTAACGTTGTCAGATTGTTAGAAAGCAAAATCAAAACATGGTATAACAATAGTTGACAATAAGAAAAACCGCAATACTTTAATTCCACACACACACACACACACACATATAGAGGACATCAAATTGTTGGATGAAAAGACATAAAGCAAAGCGAAACCGATATGAGGCTGTGAGATGGACCGACTCAATCTGCTGCAGGTAGTAGTTGCAGGTTGCAGGTTGCAGGCTTGCGGGATATAATGCCACGTCTGCGGTAACAACAACAACAACAACAACATCAGCACATGCTGGCCACAAAAAAGCTTATCAGAAATTCCATTATGAAAAGTTGAACCAAAAAAGGCAACAACAACAACAACAACAACAGCAATAGCAATGTCAACAGGAGCACTGGCTCTGCAGTAACAGGACCAAAAATATCAGACGTTGTCGAGACAATTCGGGCGGCGAATACGTTCATTGTATATGGTTTGTTGGCAGGGGTCGTCGACGACGACGGGGATTGTGGATGCTGCGTTACCTTTGATTTCATTTTTGCCGTTTAATTAAAGCTTTTTATTGCACATTATACATATATAAGCACATAGGGCGTGGCCATGCATTGGCTACAACCTTCTCTATATGCTGCAGTGAAATGTTTTCATTTTCGCAGACAGCACGGCGTATGCGTAACGTGTGTGTGTGTGTGTGTGTGCGAGTTTGATTTTCCACTTGCATGTCTATTATAATTTTCATCTGTGGTCTAGGACAATAAAGTCCATCTGTTGTCTGATAACTGTCTATCCAGCTGTCTATTAATATTTTATCAGACGGCCACGCCCCACATGAGAGGCCAGCAGTCTGGCAGGCAGGCGGACGACCTCATTCGATGCCGGCCACTTGAAGTTTTAGCACAGAGCAGACCCTCCGAGCAATTCAGTTGCGAGTGTGTGCGTATGTGTACATGTGTGCGTGTGTGTGTTAATTATTTTGCATACAGCTGCCGAGAACCTGCAGCCAGGGGTCAGCTTTACTGCTGCTGTTGCTTTTTCTGCCACTGCAGTGCAATATTACGTATACGTAATACGTTTTGTGGCTTTCTAACCGCAAAACTATTAAAGCAAGCAGGCAAATCGAATTGTTACGAAACGTATCAAAATTGCCAGGACGACTATTGACAGCTATCGAAGCAGCAGCAGCGCCAGGACATGAAACAGGACATTGTTGAGCTGCTCTAATTGATTTTTGCGCTAGAGCTCAATTGTCATGGGCATACGTATTTCAATTGATATAGACTGTAGCTATTGGTGGCATTGTGATGGAAAACTGGGGCGGAACAGCGGAACCTGTGACTGAATAGCACTTGCAGTAGTTGAGTTATTTGCGGTTTACATATAAGTTACCTACAAAAAGGGAACACTTATCAATAGTTCAAGTATCGCATCTGTATTGACCGGCTTGTGCTACTAAGCTTCTCATACCAAGGATATTTTATATTATGAATACATTTGGATTCATAGAAATTCAGAACTATTTTAAATGAGGTAAAAAATGTGTAAAAAGAAAGAGTCCATTTGAATGACATTAAATACAAAAACATAACCAGGCATCGGATATTATAGGAAAAAACATCTAAATAAATTGATCCTAGGAAAATAAGATCTAAGTTGCTTTTAAGTACTTTCTCTCGTAAATCTAAACACAACTTTAACATCCGCTAACTTATATTATCTTCTTTGTTTCTTATATTACTAACAGCGCCACCCTTGTCGCAGTTGCCACACTTCGTCCTGGTGCAAGCGATCATCTGAGAAAGGAATTTCGCAGCAAGGCTAAGCAGTTGGCGCGTCTCAGCGATGCGAATGTGGCTCGCTTGGTGGGCGCCTGCCTGCGGGACGAGCCCATATGTATTGTGCAGGACTATTCGAATTGTCTGGGCGACTTGAATCAATTTCTGCAGGAGCATGTGGCTGAAACAAGCGGACTGATGGCCAACAAGAGTCTGAGGTAGGTGAAGATACAAAAGAAGAGAGAGAAAGAGAGAAAGAATATACTTGTGCTTTGGCGCTTAACTGAACAACACTCTAATGTTCTGTCTCTTTTGGTTTTTGGCTGCGTTTTTGCGTGCGTTTTTATCATGTTTCCGTTACCGACGCCATTTGCCGACGCTACACTTCCGGTCTCGTGTTCAATGATTACGCCGATCCACCACCGAACAACCACCAACAACATGCGCAAACGGATGTAAAAACTTCGTTAACTTTGCTGCTGCTGCCGCTGCTATCGTCATCGTATTCGTTGTCGTTGTCGTTGTGGTCCTTACCACACGCGAAAACTTTTCAAATTCTCATTTGACGTTGGCATCCTCCTCCGCCCGGCATCCGTTTCGTGCCCCACCATGCCCCACCATGCCCCACCAACCATGCAACAACGTCTTGTAGCTATGGCTGCTTAGTCTACATTGCCACACAAATTGCATCGGGCATGAAGCATTTGGAGCAAATGAATTTCGTACATCGGGATCTGGCAACAAGGTAAGTACTTGAGATAAGAACACCTTACACCACTGTTAGCTGCCCCTCGGTTTGAATTTTTGTCGCATCATTGCAGCAAATTGAACTTAAAGTTAACATGTTGAAAGTTCTTCTATTTTTTTGTCCATTTTGTGGTGCGTGCTTAAAAACTTTTTCAACTTGCGCTCGCGAGGCAAAAGAATATAAGAAAAGGTATTTTGCAAATTGCAAGCTTCTTAATTTCGACATGAAATAATGAAATGGTCGAAAACAAATACTATCTGAGAAATCTTGAAATATTTTAATACTTTAAGAACTCGTGAATGTGAACTTTCTATTAAATCAGCCACTTATAAGCTGAAGTTGAAAAAAAAAGTAAGATAAAATTTGTTTCTAATAACTATTTGAAAATCGTAATATGTTTATGCAATTTTTTGTAAAAAATCCTATAAGATTCTACTTTGGAAACGTCCACCTCATAGCATTAAGGTATTTAAGCACTCTCGTTACGTTATGTACCTTTATTATAATCGAAATTGTCTTCGAATATGAGAAGCTCTGAAAACTGAGAACAAATTGTGCTTTGAGGCGCACTCTGCATTGTCAATTTCAGCTGCGTTCTCAGGTTACTTTAATGAAATTATGTGTCCCTCCGCACAAATGAAATCAACTAATATTATCACATTATTACCAACCAGAAATTTGCTGGCAAGTAGTGGAAAGTGAATAAAAAGACAGCCAAGCTATAAATAAAATGGTAATTCAATATATCGAAGAGCTACCGAACGCTGTTGTCTACACATTTGCGCATAAAATGTAATCAATTAAAATTAATTTGCTAATGAAAATGTCAACAAGGAGAGCAGCAGCAGCAGCAGCAGCAGCAACAGCAATCAACACGACAGCAACAATAACAGCAGCTACAACAATGGCCATGGCAACACTTGACGACATTCTTGTCGTTTATGGGCGAATTTTTTGCTTTTAGCTTATATAAATGAATGATAGACATTGTTGTTATAGCAGCCAAACGCTCGACCCCACATCCAGCGCTGACGTTGGCGTTGTCGTTGTCATTGTCGTCATAACAAATCAATAGACTTGTAGAGCATGTAACATGCTATGGCATGGCCATATTTCTTCAATGTCTTTGAAATCCAATAAGAGTTTTTTGCTATTTTTGGGCACGCAATTGTCAAACACAATCCTCTGTCACGCCCAGCCCGCACCGTCACACAAATAATGACTTTCATTGCATAACAATGCAATCCAATAATAATCATAAAGAAGCAGGAGAGAAAAAACGAATATAGTCGATATAGGTAAGCAACATATCATTTGACAGCAATTGGCATTGGCGGCCAACGTGTGCCATGAGTTATCTATTTTCTTCTTTTTTTTTTTTTCGTTTGGCCATGTTCAAAAATTTGTTTTTGAGCAAAGCCGAATGAATGGCTGGCAATAAATTTGTAGACATGACAATGCGACGTTTGCGCAATAAGACCGCAAATATTGTGCATGCAAGTCTCCTTTGAATATTTATGTTCGTCCTGCAGTAGCAGCAGCGCATATTAAGCATACGCCACGTAACATCAGTTTATAGCCCAATTGTTTTCGTACACTCTACCAGACAGCTACGGGAATACCTATTTTCCGTTTTTAAATTGCCTAACCAAATCCCAGACATGTTAACTGACCCGTTGTCTAGCAATTTGAGTTTCTTATAGCTTCAATTAGTATGACAAAGCCAGAGAGCTTAGTCTTGATGTCAGCAAGGACATCAGCTAAAGCACCTTGTGAGCAGCACACAATGTTTTTGGTTTTGGTTAGCTTAACATATTTGCCATAAAAATTAACTAAGATTTCGGCCTGAATTCACTTAAGTAAGATTTCTGCTACATTTGCTCAGCCAAACAAAAGAACCAAGCCCAAAAATATAAACACACACACACACACACACACACACATATGCACAGTGTATTTTTAGCATTGTTTGATTTGCCATTTTACCTAGCGCATTGACAACGAGACAGGGACAGCTACTCAGGAAGCGCCAGCAAATATTAGCTGCAAAAACCACACAAAATGGCAAGTGATAGA